ATACTATTTGTTGAACTCTTAGTATTATCATATGTGTATAAAGTTAAATGAAAATAGATCTTTTAAAAATAAGAATGGGAATAGGAGAGGGAGGAGGAAGAAGGGTGGAAGTGTGGTTGGGAAGAATCACTGTGTTCCTAAGTTGTATTTATGAAATGCATGAAGTTTGTATACCTCAAATAGAAGGATTCTGGAGGGGAGGGGAAGACTGTATTGACCAGAATTTATAGTTAAAGTGTGGATTGTCTGAGGAAAGAAGATTAAATTTGAGCTGGATGCTGACTTCATAGGGAAATACAAGACAAACATCTCAAGATACTTACAGTCACAGAGGAGGAGGAGGAAATAGTTTCAAGAAGAAGAAATCCAGAGAGAGAACATCATGGTGGAACGTAGTGTTCGGAGTGTGGCTCAGTCCTGAGTGGCTTTATACATTCAGAGGTGTTTTCTAAGGATGACAGGGTACTCTGGGGTTTGACTGACAACATTGCAGGAGGTGTGGGGTGGGGGAGTTTAAAATGTGATCGAGCCTGGGCTCATTTCAGTACCTTATTAAATTCTTTCGAAGGATTGTGTAGAAGCAAGGCAAAGTTCCTTCCAACTAATGGAAATTCAGAGGTGTAGACAAATTGTATGAGACAGTTGCTCCAGTATATATAACTCCATTAATCTTGGACTCGTTTAAATTGATTTGGAAGATCAGTCTGGGTGGGGAACTCAGTCAAAAAAGGATAATACTTAGTGCTTACGTGAGAGTTCCTCAACATTTATACCTCTTAGATTTCTTGCTTCGATTCATAAAGAGAATGAGCAGGACACTATTTGGAATAATTCCGGTCTCTTTAACTTAATTAAATCACTGGGTTTATTGTTATTAGGTTCTTAAGCGTTCTGCAGAAATATTTATACAAGGAAATAGTTTTCTTGTGGGAGCCATGTTGTAAATGGTGGTTGACTTCCGAGCTGGAGGCATTGAAAACTTTCTGAGCTTTTGATATTTGCATTATGGTAGTTTTACAGTAGCACCTAAAGGTTTATAGGTGGCAGGGCCAAGTAGACAGGGACAGGATTTCTTGGCTTCTTGTTCCTTAGGTGGTATCCGATCTTGGGTTTCCTTGTGTTTCAGGACTACGACCTGCAGTTGGCAACTCTGGGGGCCCATCGTATCATTGGTGTTAATAGCACCCTTGAGGTTTTTTTTTTTTTTTAAAGATTTACTAATTTATTTGAAAGGTAGAGTCACGGAGAGACAGAGAGATGGTTCACTCCTCCAAATAGCCACAATGACCAGGGCTGGGCCAGTTCAAAGCCAGGAGCTGGGAGCTTCCTCCAGGTCTCCCATGTCGGCAGCAGGGCCTTAAACACTTGGGCCATCCTCCACTGCTTTTCCAGGCATATTATCAGGGAGCTGGATTTGAAGTGGATCAGCTGACACATGAACCAGTATCCATATGGGATGCCAGCACTGCTGCCTGTGGCCCAACCCATTGTGCCAGAATGTGGGAGGGCCCCACGCCTGGAGTTTTGTACTTCTTTTTTTTTTTGACAGGCAGAGTTAGACAGTGAGAGAGACAAAGAGAAAGGTCTTCCTTTTCTGTTGGTTCACCCTCCAAAATGGCCACTACGGCCGGTGCGCTGCGCCGATCTGAAGCCAGGAGCCAGGTGCTTCCTCCTGTTCTCCCATGTGGGTGCAGGGCCCAAGCACTTGGACCATCCTCTACTGCACTCCCGGGCCACAGGAGAGAGCTGGACTGGAGCAACCGGGACAGAATCTGGCGTCCCGAATGGGACTAGAACCCGGGGTACTGGCGCCACAGGCAGAGGATTAGCCAAGTGAGCTGTGACACTGGCCAGTTTTGTACTTCTAAGACTTGTGTGGCCATATGTTATAGCCTTACAGTAAGTTAAAGTGATTTTAGTACTTTGAAAATTACCGAGTAATTTTATTTTATTTTTTTTAAAGATTTATTTTATTTATTAGAAGGTCAGAGTTACAGAGAGGTAGAGCCAGAGAGAGAGAGCGAGCGAGAGAGAGAGAGAGCACGAGCAAGCGCGAGAGAGAGAGAGAGCACGAGCAAGCGCGAGAGCGAGAGAGAGAGGGAGGTCTTCCATCCACTGGTTCACTCCCCAGATGACCACAATGGCCAGAGCTGAGCTGATTCAAAGCTAGGAGCCAGGAACTTCTCCAGGTCTCCCAAGGGAGTGCATGGGCCCAGGGACTTGGGCCATCTTCTACCGTTTTCCCAGGTCGTAGCAGAGAGCTGGATCAGAAGTGGAGCAGCTGGGACTTGAACTGGCGCCCACATGGGATGCCGGTGCTGCAGGTGGCAGCCTTATCCGCTACGCCACAGCGCTTAGCCCCGCAGAATGCCTTTCTTAATGTAATAGTAGTCATCTTAGCTGTGATCATTGTCATAATTTTAATTGAATCTAATATGTCATTTGTAAGATTCTTCATTTATATATTACTTAGAAATTAAACTGTCAAGTAAATTCTGGCACTGTTTTATTAGACTTTTTAGTTTACATATTTAAAAAGGATTTGTTTATTTGAAAAACAGTGTTACAAAGAGAGGGAGAGAGAGGGAAAGAGGTCTTCCAACCGCTGATTCACTCCCTGAATGCCTGCAATAGCTGGAGCTGGAGCAGTCCAAAGCCGGGAGTGAGGGCCTTCTTCCTGGTCTCCCACGTCAGTGCAGGGACCCAAGCACTTGGGCCATCTTCCACTGCTTTCCCAGGCCGTTAGCTGCAAGAAGAAGAGAGATCCAGAGAGCTAGATCGGAAGAGGAGCAGCCAGGACATGAACCAGGGCCCATGTGGGATGCGAGCGCCGCAGGTGGAGGATTAACCTGTTGCTCCACAGTGCTGGTCCCTTTATTTTACACGTTTAAAAAGAGCTCTTTTATGCTTACTTAAGAAATAAAGAGTTTTACTATGCATTGTGTCATTTCTGTGTAAGATGTGCCTTATTTATTTGAAAAGGCAGTGACAGGGAGAGAAAAAGATCTTCCATTTGTTGCGTCACTCCCCAAATGGCTGCATTGGCTGGGGTTGTGCCAGGCCAAAGCTAGAAAGCCTAGAACTCCACCTTGGTCTCCCATGTGAATGGGTCATCATTAGCTACTTTCCTTTTTGCCTTAGCCGGATTTGGAATTGGAGCAGTGGGACTTCAGCCAGTGCTGTGAGAGGGGTGCCAGTCTTGGGGTCACAGCTTAACCTGTTGCACCACAACAGCCCTGTGTGTATATTTTAAGGGAAATAGAAATGAAATAAATTGGTGTGTGTGGTTCTACTATTTCTAGTATTCAGAGTCTGACTTTTCTGTTATTTTCCAGCTTGTCATTGTAGAAGTCCCCGCGTTCCTTCGTCTATGAATACCTAAGGCAGGGCTCCATTAATTTCTTACCAGTTTACAATTCTGTGATTTGGTGTGGTGCTTGTGAAGATTTTGAAAGCAATATAAGCTGTTTAATTTGTATAGCCTTTAAGTACTTCAGGACTGCTAAATGTGACTGTATGGGTTGTGCAGTGGATGCACCAGTGGCATACCGTATATTAAGCTTCCTCATCAGCTTGTGCTTTCTCTGTCCCATTTGTTCTTTAAGTCATTTGGAATTATTCCGCCAATGAGAAATACTTTATCTAACATCCTATTACTGTATTTCCTTCCTTTTTTATTACACAGTAGATATTTTTGTTTTTATTTTGCTTTTTTCCCCGTCTCAGGTTTATTTGTACAAACAGCACGGGACAGTAGCCCCATGTAGACAGCAGCCCGGGGCCATACCAGTTCTACACTTGCATTGGTGGCAAAGGCTGTTACTACCCAGTTTTTCTGTGGGGCTGAGCACCTTTGGGAGAGGAATGCGGGGACTTCTACAGTGACATCATTCTGTGATGACACTGACTCCCTAGGGTGCGGCAGCAGTGCTGAGCCCCCACCTCTGCCTCCTAGGGTGCATTGGCAGGAAGCTGGATGAGAAGGGAGTATCTTGGATTGGAGTCTGTGCTCTGATATAAGATGAGTTTCCACGCAGCAGCGTAACTTGTTGTGCACAACATCTGGTCCCGTCCAAGCTTTTATCGCAACTTGGCAATCCAAGATATTTTTCAAAATACTCAGTAAGGTGTAAAGTACTAAGGAGAAACTGAGAACTGTGGCAAAAGCTGTGAGGTAGGTAAAGAAGGTCCTTATTTTAAGAATCTTGAGGGGTTGGTGTTGTGGTACAGCTGATGAAGCTGCTGCCTGTGACTTAGGCATCCCTCATGAGCGCCAGGTGGAGTCCTGGTTACTCCACTTCTGATCCAGCTCCCTGCGTCATGTGCCTAGGAAGGCAGCAGCAGAATACTCAAGTGCCTGGGCCCCTGTCACTTCTATGGGAGAACACGTGGAATTCTAGGCTCCTGGCTTTCTCCTGGTCCACCCTCTGCCATTCCACCTTTTGGGGAGTGAACGAGTGGATGGAAGATGATCTCTACCCCTGCCCGCAACTCTGCCTTTCAAATAAGTAAATGAACTTTTAATTAAAAAAAAAAAAAAAAACAAAACAACAAAACTTTGATGTATCGCATGGTGATGTAGGTGCCATTATAAGGGAGTAAAACAAAGTGAAATTTTTTTTTTTTTTTTTTATTTTTGACAGGCAGAGTGGACAGTGAGAGAGAGAGACAGAGAGAGAAAGGTCTTCCTTTGCCGTTGGATCACCCTCCAATGGCCGCCGCTGCAGCCGGCGCACCGCGCTGATCCGATGGCAGGAGCCAGGATCCAGGTGCTTTTCCTGGTCTCCCATGGGGTGCAGGGCCCAAGCACCTGGGCCATCCTCCACTGCACTCCCTGGCCATAGCAGAGAGCTGGCCTGGAAGAGGGGCAACCGGGACAGAATCCGGCGCCCCAACCGGGACTAGAACCCGGTGTGCCGGCGCCGCAAGGTGGAGGATTAGCCTATTGAGCCACGGCGCCGGCTTCAAAGTGAAATTTTAATATATTAAACTGCATTCAGATCTCATTGCTCTGAGGCTAAACGAGAAAATCCTTGATTTGGTCCCCAGTGCCCCGCATGCTTCCTCTTGTGCATGCCTCCTTTCCCCTGCACACAGAAACAGACGGCGAGTTCTAGCGTAAGGATGGATTGATCACCTTGCTCACTGTGTTGTAGACAGACGGGGAGTTCTAGCGTAAGGATGGATTGATCACCTTGCTCACTGTGTTATAGACAGACGGGGAGTTCTAGTGTAAGGATGGATTGATCACCTTGCTCACTGTGTTATAGACAGACGGGGAGTTCTAGCGTAAGGATGGATTGATCACCTTGCTCGCTGTGTTATAGACAGACGGGGAGTTCTAGCGTAAGGATGGATTGATCACCTTGCTCACTGTGTTATAGACAGACGGGGAGTTCTAGCGTAAGGATGGATTGATCACCTTGCTCACTGTGTTATAGACAGACGGGGAGTTCTAGTGTAAGGATGGATTGATCACCTTGCTCACTATGTTATGAAGAGGAATTCAGATATCTCATTCTGTGACCTCACTGAGAGGAAAATAAACAAAATATTCTGTAGCTTTCTAGCCTGTATTTAATTCTTGACTGATTGTATGGAGATATTTTTCTCTTTAACAGGTTTCTCCAGATATAAAAAGTCTTGTGAAAATACGGAAAAGAATGGCAGCAGAAACACAGACACTGAACTTTGGGCCTGAATGGTGAGTTTTAAAAATCACATCCTCTTCAATAGTGGATGACTAATTTAGAAGGAAGGTCTTTGTACAGGTGCTGGGTGGTTTATAAATGGGCATGTTTTTGAGGCTTTGCTTTATGTGCCTAGTTGAAAACTGTGTGCCTAGTCTAAGAATAAATTATATATGGTAAATGACTATTCTGTACTTTGATAATTTTTTTTGCTCGTTTATGTAATAATAATGTCATTAAAAGTCCCCACAATCCCAACACTCTAGAAAGTTTTGTTTGGGTTCCTTGTCTATGTTCATAAACAATTTTATGTAATTGTAACATTTTTAGTGTTCATATATTTTCTGCTACAGTGCTATTTTGTGATTGCTATTCGTAGGCTCATTTGAAGAGTAGATTTGAATAGATTTTGAAATACTATTTGAATTTTATTTTACCAATTGGCTAGGCAGGTAGTCTAGAATTATACTGGCTATTAGCAGTAGCCTATCTAGGATTGAGTTAGCATTTGCCATAATAACAATTAATTGACCTTTGAGTCTCTTACAGATGTGTTTGGACCCGAATATGGAATTCTCATGGAATTCTCATGGAATTTTGAGATCCATCACATTATAGTGTGACTTTTCCCCTCTCTTCTTCCTTTTCCCCCAAAGTTGGTGATTGAAGATCCTCTCTTCAGTGGTGTGAATAATGATAGTCATTTTTCCATTCAGACCTCAAATAATCCCTTTGGTAATGTTGTAGACAGAACCTAACATAGATAAATTGGATTAGTGTCTTAAATACTCATGAATGTTCAGGTGGTAGTGGTCTGGTAAATGATACAGACTTCCTATAGTAACTTTCTATTTGAGGACTCTTATTAAATTGCCCTACTGAATCTATTTTTTATATGTAATTATTAAATTTTCTTAATCCTTTATAGCTAACATTTAGAGACCCAGGAGAAGTCACTATTTGAAGTTCTGAGAACTGTTACAACTCCCACATATTGAGAGTTTATTTTGAAATTGTTGACATAAATAATACTGTACCTACATGTTTTATTTTCTGTTTTCAAAATAATTTTCATATTAATACATTTCTAGAAAAATTAGAATTGCAGATAAGTCAGAAAACATAATCACCATGATTTCACCATCCATGGTAACCATTGTAAATATCTTGGTATATCTTTCCAGTTGTTTTTATGTATCTTATTTTGTATATGTACATTTATTTTCATAAACGTGAGTTCATTCTGTACATTTCAATTTTGTAAACTGCTTTTGAAAAATAACCAGAATATTTTCTATCAATAAATGTTTTCTATTCTGTTAAATGGTTGCATTGTATGGATGTAACATCATTATTTAACTAGTCCTCTAAGTGTAACACATAGAGGCTGTTCTCAGTTTTTGATTATATTTCACGTGAACATTTTTATACCTAAATATTTATTCACATCTTACTAACTTCCTTTACCAGATGAATTTCAATTCATGTAAACTTTGTTGTGTGTAGCTCTTCTGCGTTTATCTAGAATTTGTAACTGCTTTTCTTGTATTTTTATATACTCACATGTCTTTTTGTAAAACATTAAAATTATCAACTAATTTTACTAAGGTTTTTTTTAAAGCATCCCTCTTTTAATAGGTAACAAAAAGACAATACCAGGAATTTAGCCAAAACAAATGAAGAAAAAAATGTTCCTATTCTAGACCTAATTTACATGTATCTTGATGCCCTGCATCCGGGGTTGGCAAACAATGGCCTGTGGGACTGTAAATAAAGTTTTTGTAGGTGAAGTTTCTTGGAATACAGACCCCTTGTTTCTGTATGATCTGATTCTAGTTGTCCTACTCGGGCAAGGTTAAGAGTTGCATCAGGCCATCTGCAATATTTTTCTCTGACCCTTTACAGAAGAAGTTTGCTGCTTCTCTCCTACACCACAGGTTTCCACACAGTCATCTCACTGTGTCATTGACCCAGCCTGTCAGCTACATCTTATACATCCTCTTCATTAGTACTCTGAAGCTTTGTTTGAAGGGATTTCATTTGGTCAGCCAGTGTTTCATAGAAAATTTAAATGGAGATGGTTCAGCAGAGGCAGTCTCCTGTCCACCCTCTCTTAATTGTTGCCTCTGGTACCCTGTGGGCCTTAGAGCTTAGGAGCCTTCCTTTAATTATCTGACACACTGAGAAACTGAGGAATGGAGGTTCAAGCAAAAGGAGTATGTGAGGCCCGTGGAATGCAGAAGCCCTGGCCTAGAAACCTGCAGTATCTATGACTGGATATTGCTGCTGTATTTTCCTACATGTAACATTATGTCGTTGTGAAACAGGGTCAGGAACTGAGTCCAGAGTACTGGAAAACTCAAGGCATAGTGTGATGGCACTGAATCCCTGTGACACTCTGAACCCACAGAAACAGTGGTACTGTGTTTGCTGAGGTCATTTTTATAATGAGAAATGTAAAAAATATTCAATAAGAGATGTGTAAAATGAAAAGATTCATTCAGTTGTGAACATGGAAGAGCATTGAAAATTGTTGTTGGTACAAACCATGATTGCTGCAAGCTTGAACTTTTTAAGGTCTGTGGAATCATTAGGTCTTAGATCATATTTAAAGATAAGTATTACACGTAATCATCAAAGCACTTAGAAGGGCGTGATAGTTTTAATGGAGAAGTAAATCATTTCTGGGTGTAAGACAGCCACTTTCCTAAAATACCACCGCCTTTCTTGACCTTCTGTACAGTGTCCCCTGGCTACCCGCTTTTCCCTGTCTCCCTTCCCTGTTCAATTTTTCTTCATGATGTATGTCAATGTAACATGCTAAATATTTTGACATGCTTTTTTTTCCCCTTCTTTACACCCCGTCCTCTCACGTCTTTAGACTGTGCGCTCCACTGAGGGCAGGTACTTTGGTCTGAAGCTCTGTAGAGTCTGTTTACTGCTGTATCTCTAGTGTCTGGCACATAGTTGGGTACTCAATAAATACTTGTTCAATGAATGAATGAATTGTTGGGAAGCAAAATCTTGTTTTGCTACAGTAAATGATATATATTTATACCTTTGAACAGTTTTTATTTGTACTGATCATCTTTTTGGCATTAATTTATTAGAACTGGGATTATTCAGTCAAAAGTTTCATTCTTAGGGTTTTGGATGATGTATGACCGGTTAATCACCAGGATTATGTGAACTGATTTCCATCCTGTGCATGTTTCCTTTATTCTTGAGAAAACACTAGGCACTGTCTTGATAAGACGTTTTTTGGTGCTAAACCTCTTAGATTTAGGCTTTTTAGAAATTTTGTTGCGATCATACTAACAAAAACTGAAAATCTGGAAGAATCTGTAGTACAGAAGGAAAAAGATAAGAGGTAAATTATCCTTAATCCAACCATCCAAAGAGCCTTTGCTAGTATGTTGGTTTATATCTTACTGTTTGCTTACAAGTGTGTGTCTCTCTTTTTTTCTTTAAAGTTGGGCCTATCTAAAGCCAGGATCCAGGAGCATCTTCTGGGTCTCCCACTGAGTTCAGAGGCCCAAGGACTTGGGCCTTCTTCTACTGCTTTCCTAGGACATAACAGAGTTGGATCGGAAGTGGAGCAGCTGGGCCTCGAACTGGCACCCATATGGGATGCTGGCACTGTAGGCGGTGGCTTTACTTGATAAGCCACAGTGCTGGCCCCTGCAAGTATCTCTTAAGACAGTTTAAAAAACCAAACTCATTATACTTCTTGTATTTGGGACTTTAAAATTATTTTGTCAGTCAAAGTGTACTCAGATAAGACTAGAGAAAGACTTTATTATAGGGAGAATGCAGATGGTGATCTGGCTTCCTGTGAGAGGAGCCAAGGAACCTGCTCTGGGGTCTGCTCCAAGGTCTCCTCCGTTACAGCTCCACAGCTTTCAGTTTTCTCGGGTCTTTTCTTGAAAAATGGAGTTACTTCTGTCCCCGCCCCCCCTTCAGTTTGTTTATACCTGTGTTAAAATAGTTACCACTTTGTAGTGTAGTGTATCTCTTTATATATGTGTTTGCCTTAGGAAAGAACCAATTCCATTAAGAAAGGCCCTGTATTTCTCAGTTTTGTTAAGCACATTATTTGTTGCTCCAGAAGTGGGTACCTAACCAAAGTTTGTTGAATTAAAGCATTCAAGAGAGTGCAAACTGAGACTCCTAGCTTATTATACATAATATTTGCCTTATTATGGAAGAATGAGAGAGAGTCTAAAGGATGGACTGCAGGTAATACTTTGATTTTTAAAAAGAGTAAAAGGTATCTATGGCATCTGAAAAGATAGTGAATTTGATATTATCTGGAAGTGTATTTTAGAAGAAAATTTTAAGATTTGTTCAGAAAATATTTGATCAGATTTTACCATGTTCTTTGTCTTGTGTTAGGTGCTGAAGCAACAAAGGTAAATGAAATGGTACCTACTTTGGAATTGTTTAGTGGAGCAGCTAAACAGTTTAGCTGACATTAAATAATTTACCACAAATTCATAATGCTGCAAGTACAGGATATTGAGCTGCTAATTAATTTTTCCACTTAGCTGTCTTATTGTCTCCTATTTTGCGGTTTTCTAAAAGTAACGTCACGAGTTTTGTGCTCTTCTATTTCATCTTCATGCCGTGTGTGTCCATTTATTCAAGTCCGGAGTCTTGGAGTTACCTTTTTTTTTTTTTTTTAAGGATTTATTTATTTGAGAGGCAGAGTTACAGAGAGAGGGAGAGACAGAGAAAGATGTCTTCCATCTGCTGGTTCACTCCCCAAATAATGGCAACAGCCATCAACAGCCATAGCTGGGCCGATGTAAAGCCAGAAGCCAGGAGCTTCTTCTGGGTCTCCCATGTAGGTGCAGGGGTCTGAGCACTTGAGCCATCTTTCATTACTTTCCCAGGCCATTAGCAGGGATTTGGATTGAAAGTGGAGCAGCTAGGACTTGAATCGGCGACCATATGGGATGCTGGCGCTGCACGCGGATGC